TTTCTTTTCCGCCCCTCTATTCTCTCCATTCCTCCTGGCTTGTATTCAAATTTGGGTCAGGGGTGAGAGACCAACGTCACAGGCTTGCAAGATGGCGCGCGGACGGCTGTGAGATGGTAAACCGGGCTGGTTAATCCAGAAAGGCTCCTGCCGATGCAATAAGGTACCGGAACGACTGCTTTCTGCTTCGCGGCGTCCCGTGAGCGCACCGGTCCCAAGGCCCGCGTCGGAGCAGCTCTTTTACGGTGTTTTTTTTAAAACGGGGGGTGGAATTGGCTGCTACGGCGTGCCAGGGAGACGGGACCTCCCCTGCTTGGTGCCTGCTCCGGGAAAGCCAGCCAGCCAGCTTGGCAAATGCCGTTTTGTTCTGCTTATGCAGCACTGCAGAACGTAGCATGCCACTTAAAATGTTAGATTTACATCAACTATTGTAGTTGTTAATTTTATACATAGTAGTAGTGGTGGTGGTTTGCTTTATTGGGGAAAAAATATGAATCGCACTGACTTATGCGCTTAGCCGAGTGTGTCACTCGGTAGAAGCAGGACACTGATATGTTTTGCTGTGTTGTTTGTAGTGTTGCCCCCCTTTTCCTCCCTTACCTGCGTTTGATCCATGGTGATACCCTGTCACCCTAGATGCGCGACTTAAAGTTCTTGCTGCAGCTGATGAAGCTGACTGAAGCTGGCGAGATCGGGCGTGTTACGGTGGGGGCACAGCAAAGTGTGTACGGGCTGGCGGGTGTCGGCTCATCGCGAGTCGGCAAACGGGCCCCAAGACACATATTCAATATCAAATCGCATATTAAGGTTTGTCAGGTTTTGTGAATAAGGAGGTGAGGTGATTTCTGTGTTTTACTTTGGAATGTGCCTTTCTGATATGCTACGGTTTGAATTAATGAAATGACTGAGGCTGGATTCCTCGGAATTTCCCATGAAATGATTAATTTTAGTCTAAGGACCGAAATGTTTTAAGTGCGGGGTTACAAAAGTTTGCTTGATCGATCTATCGATCTGTTTGTAATTTTCCGGCTTATTGAAGTCGCGCCGATAGTTTGTGTCACGATGTTTATATTGGGTGTACTTGTAACTTTTCTTGATGTCCGGAGTCGTGGTTGTCTTGGCGCTTTGCTTTGTGTGTGTGTGTGTGTGTGTGTGTGTGTGTGTGTGTGTTAAATCACTGTCTCTGTGCTGCTGGTCTCTGCCCGTGGTGGGTTTCTCTCTCTGCAGAGGTGGGTGTGATTCTTTGACTGTTGCTGCTGGGATGAGCAGCAGGTTCCCTTTAAGAGGGGGCTGGGTTGGGATCTTGAGGGTCCCCTTAGGTGTTCTGTGAGGCCGCTGTGTACGTGTGTGGCTTGATCGTGGGGGGGCAGGGGAAGTCCCTGTAGTGCTCACGGCGACCTCCAGGTGCTTGGCACTAGAGCTGGAATGCCCAGTATTTCCTGTTGGCCAGTAGCCCTTTTATGCTGTGCGTCCCCCCCCTCAATGCTGGCCTGCACGTGCAGCAGCCCCCGCCTGTGCTTTGGCTTTGCCTGCAATTACTCCTGTTAGTACAAAAAACAGGGACATCACCACCAGCAGACACTAAATGTTGTTGTGCGGTCATTTTATTGATGAACTAGTGGTGTGGTAGTGAGACTTGTAATGTTACAGGTTACTTGTCTAAAACAGAATGTTAAGGAGAGCGGAAGCATCTTGATTAGAGATTACTGTCTAAACCCCTTTCCAGATGTAGCTTGAGATCTACAGCCTTCCACCAAAGGGATAGAGGTTTTAGAGGAAGGGTTAGGTTTCAGGCAGAAATGGTCATTATTTTGGTATTTACATAAACTGAATTTTGTCTGTGGTTTCCCATAAATGGTTTAAAATAGAAACATAGCCTAAGGATTGTGTGAAGGATCAGACATATGCTAGTTGATATTTAGTTGTATTCTCCTCCTAAAAACGCACCGCTATGTCTTGGTGTCCCTGTGAGGTCACTCCCGCCATGCTGCCCTGCAGCCACCAGGGCGGCGCAGTGCAAAGATAACGTGGTTGGTGTGAGGCCTGCCTGGCGTGATAACGGTCAGGCACACACCCCCAGTGCATTTGCTTTTGAAAGGGCACGTAAAACAGCTCTCCGGGTAAACCTGCTTTTTGAGAGAATGGTATTAGAATCACAATAAAATACTTTCTTTGACAAAATTGTGCAATTTAAGCGCTTTTTTTTTTTTTTTTTTCTCCAGTCCCTGAATGTGACTTAAAGATAACGGGATACCAAAAACTGTAGTGAATTTCAATGACCTAAGTGGACTTTTGGGATGCGTGTGTTATAAGCTGATGCTGTATATAAGTGATAATCATTTTGAATTGAGAACATTTTTAAAGTTATAAATCTTTTGCCCAGGGCAAGTATGACTCGCAGAGTGGTGATTGTGGGGTTAGGTGGGTGTATTGCCGGCTGGATAGCTGCTGGTGGGGGGGAGGGGGGGAAGTGTTGTTTAAGCTGGGTGCTCTTGCTTTGCAGATGCTGCATAGTGGGGGCTTTATGCCATGTTCGGCTGACCTTCACCACTAATGAGGTTTTCTGAGCTGGTCAGGGCCTGGTCTCATCTCACTCTGTCATGTGACCCATCTGCGAGGTGCAGCAAGTGATCAATAGTAGGATTTAAACACAATCTGATCCACACTGAGGTGATGGGTTTCTTTAAGTGCGCGGCTTTTGGGGCACAAGTCAAAGCGCACACGGTCGATCCAGTGGGGTGGTTCCCGTCAGACTACCACGCTCCCGATAAATGATACCTTCATGGGGTTTTAAGAGAGCTCCTGATGGCAGGTTGATGTTCTCCTGCGTCCCGAGAGTCACCCTGTCAGAAACCCTTCCCCCTGTGTTAAATGTCCGTGCCTCCCCCCGCCACGCCCCCGCCCCCGCCTGTGATGTGTGCAGATTGAGTTGCGCTTAATCCCGCAAACAGCCAGCGGTGCCGTGCCCACACTCCCGTCACCCTGCTGTCAGACAAAGGGCCTTGGGCCTGCCTGGTGCATAACCGGCAGCTAATGGAGGCTGCGGTGGAACTTTCCGGAATCCCTTTGAAAGATTATAGCTGTGCTCCAGGGAAAAATAATAAAAAAGAGATTAAAGAAGTTACTGTCTTACCTATTTTGCTCTCCTTTTATCCTAAAACAGTAATGAGTTTTTTCTTTTTAGCCATGTTCCAGTGGTATGTTGCATGTAGTTAAGAATGCAAGCATGAAGAACGATCATTTAGCAATAATTCTAGGCTAAATACTAGTATGGCTTTCAGTCACGGACCGTATCCTTTCAATTAGGGCTGTAGTCGAATCGTGTGATTGGCTATAGGAGTTCCCCAACTCATTGTTTTTTCTGTTTTATTTCAGGTTGTACTTTTCGGGGAAGAGAAGGCGAGATGGAATTACCAAATCACGCTAGACAGCTGCTGCTCCAGCTGAATCAGCAGAGGGCCAAGGGCTTCCTGTGTGACGTCATCATTGTGGTGGAGAACGCCCTCTTCAGGGCGCACAAGAACGTCCTGGCCGCCAGCAGCATGTACTTCAAATCGCTTATGCTTCACGACAACCTGGTGAATCTGGACATGGACATGGTGAGCCCGTCGGTCTTCCGGCAAGTGCTGGACTTCATCTACACGGGCAAGCTGCCGTCCACAGACCAGCCCTGCCAGCAGAAGTTCACCGCCCTCCTGACGGCTGCCAGCTACCTCCAGCTGCATGATCTGGCGGCCCTCTGCAGGAAACGGCTTAAAGGCTGCGGCAAGCCCCTCCCGGTGAAGCCGGGCATGGTACGGGGGCACCGCAAGCAGAAAGTCTCCTCTGCCAAGCCCGCCTCTGTCCACCGTTTGGTTTCTGAGGACAAGCAGCGGGACCAAGACAAGCCACAGGACGAGAGAGTGTCGGAGGATGAGGAGTATGCAGGTAGGGCCCCAGGGACCACATCAGGCAGTAAGACGGGCAGCAGTGGCGAGGTCGGCGGCGGGGATGAGGAGGAGGATGGTCAGGAGGTGGGGCTGGACCTGTCCAAAAAGAGTCCTTCAGAGAGCTCTGTTACGGAGGAGGTCAGCCCCCCAAGCCTCAGGGACGAGTCGCCCCCATCTGAATCCCCATCAGCTGGCAACAGCGCCACGTCTGAGGAACCTGGCCAGCCCCCAGACCTGGAGGATGGTGAGCCCATGGAGCTGGGGGAACGGGCGCTTGAGAAGAGCCCGCTTCTACCAGATGGAGACCGACCACGTGCCAGGTTCCGCCAGTCTGCCCGCAAGAAGGAGTGGCCTAAGAGGGAAGGGGGCGTGGCCAATGCCACAGAGAAGCCAGCAGCGGCCAACTTGAGGTCAGTGGTCACCGGCGATCAGCCATCCAACGGAAATAGCTTTAGCTCGGATCAGGCTTTCGGAAGCGCCGAGGAGGGGGAAAACGGGAAGGATCACAGTGACGAGAGCGAGGGTGAGAGTCCCGGTGCCAATTATGTGTACCGTCAGGAGGGCTTTGAGGTTGCCGTCGGCGACAACCTATACGTCTGCATTCCTTGTGGCAAAGGTTTCCCCAGCTCCGAGCGGCTGAATGCCCACGTGGAGACGCACACCGAGGAGGAGCTGTGCATCAAGGAGGAGGCCGAGGACCTATCGGCAAGGGTGGCCCCACCCCCTGGCACAGAGCCCCGCCCCTTCGAGTGCTCGGTGTGCAGCAAGAGCTACAAGGACCCAGCATCCTTGCGGCAACACGAGAAGGGTCACTGGCTCCCGCGGCCCTTCCCCTGCCACATCTGCGGCAAGATGTTCACGCAGCGCGGCACCATGACACGCCACATGCGCAGCCACCTGGGCCTGAAGCCGTTCGCCTGCGAGGAGTGTGGCATGCGCTTCACCCGCCAGTACCGCCTGACGGAGCACATGCGCGTGCACTCGGGCGAGAAGCCGTACGAGTGCCAGCTCTGCGGGGGCAAGTTCACACAGCAGCGCAACCTCATCAGCCACCTGCGCATGCACACCAGCCCGGCGTGAGACAGACACCCAGAGAGGCCCCTGCCTGCCCACCCAGCCGTGGTGCCCCCTCACCTGGGTGAGGTGGCTACTTGCCTGCTGGTGGTCAGCCTCCATCTGGGGCATGGACACTGGATACCAGCGTTCCCAACCTTCACCTGGGCCCCCGCCCTCTGGGGTGCTCCTCCTTTCCGTCGGGTTTGTCTTCCTTGCGACGGCTCGGCTGATTTACCCTCAGCCGCATCGCTGTTGCATATTTAACCCCGTAGGGTCTGATAGCCTCACTTTTCTCATTTTAGTACCTCAAACACACAGGGCCCCAAAGCTCCTGATTCCCCGATGCTGGGGGATTACAGAAATCCCAGAAAGGCAGAGGGGGGGGGGAGCTTTTTTTTATCATTAATGTTCATTTCTAGCCTCTAGGGATGCACCCTTTTCTGAAAACTGAACCTTTCCATGGTACTTTGTCTTAACGAACCGTTGGTCTTTACATGTCTTTGTGAATGTTTTAACTGGATGGCGTGGGGGGGCTTTTCTTCCGGGGATGGGTGGGTCTTTAAATCCTTGTCAATTTTGTTGCTGGATCTGTTTCAGCTGTCCCTCCGCCATATTCTTCACGTTAAACCCCCCCTTTCTGAAACAGGAGGGACTTGTCTGAATAGACTTCTTACAGTACTACCTCTGAATTGTTCTCCGCGAACAATACATTGATGAGTGAAATTGGGGGTGGGGTGTGGGGTGTGGGGTGTCCTAAATGTTAGTAATATGTTCAAAGGTTGTAGCGTAACAGCGCATTAATTTAGCCTGCCCACCACTCAAGATGTTTGTGTTTGTATTTTGCAAGTATTATTATTATTATTATTATTATTATTATTATTATTATTTAACAGCTTTAAATTGCCTTACGGGTCCTCAAAGATTCAGCCTGGCCTGGGTGGATGATTATTGTCTGATGGACATGTGCTTGGTTTCCAAAGAATGATGAGAACTGGAGGGCAAGAGCGATAAAGAGACCAGTAGCCTGAGTGCTCTGGGCACTGAGAACCAAAGTTTTAATGTAAGTAAATATGTGGGGATATTGAGGTGTTCCGCAAAAAAAAGCACTGTAGCGGAAGGATCGGAGTGTTTTTATTGACCAATGAGAAGTTGCAGACCAACAAACATCTTCTGATTGGTGGGTTGGTAATGTTGATTTTAAGCTTTAGGAATTTTTTCTTCCCTTGTACAAATTTAGAGAATCTTTGTGTAGTTCATACATGTCTTCAAAAGGGCATTAATTTTGAGTCAAACCAAAAAAGAAAATCAACCTTAAACAATGTGTGAAGTTTATCTAATCTTTTTCTCTTTTGCCAAACGTGAAGCTCGTACTGAACGGGATTTTGATAAGCTCTTTTTCCACACGGGGGTCTTTTAGACGGGATTGATTTCTTTCCGAGGGGCATCCTTTTAACAAGACATCATCCTTCTAACCAAATTAACCCTTAAACTGGGTGAGATACATGCCGTCACTTTTCAGATGAACTGGAAACTCGAGGCACTTGGACATTTTAGAAACACTTTGAATCGGGGATTTGGGGGTTTGGAAGGATCCCATCTTCAGCTCACCCCCTCTCCGACACCCTGTAGCAGGTACATTCCTGCAAATGTGTTTGTCTGGACGCCCTCTGCAGTAGTGATATTCTCACCCTCCAATTTACTAGGCATAGTTCAGCACAGAGACGGCGTCCTTCAGTCAGTTTAAATGTTAGTCATCAGCAGCATGACATCAGGCACCGATGTAGTTAAAAAAATGAAATTTGTCCTGAGCTGCTGTCTTGTTAAAAAGCAGCTTTTGGTCTCTGAGTTGCGAACGATACCTTTTTTAAAATGAGGGACAAAGAAACGCATTACAAAGGGTGAGTTTCAGGGTGTCGGAAGTTTCCAGAAGCATCCCAAAGCAGCCCCAGCCAACACCAGCCTGTTTCCTGTCCCTGTTAAATGAATGTCAGGGGTCACATGTGGCTGGAGTTTTGGTGGGGGGGGGGGGTAATGAGCTTTTGTAGGAAAGCGCCTCGCAGGCTGGTCCTGTGGGGGCTCCAGTCTCCAGGTGGTTCTTCCCCCAAATGGCTGCCAGAGATGCTAACCCTAAATCAAGGGCTCAGGTTTTATGTGCTCTCTGGGCTGGTTTAGGCATGCTGAATAGGCCCTAACCCTACCCTCATCAGCCCCCAAGGCACCCTTAAGTGTTCCTGTCAGGAATCTCTGAGGACGCTCACTGCACAGGCCCTGTAGTTGACGTGTCACACAGTTAAGGGCTTGGCCGATGAACACAAGGCTTGCGCTGGAGCTGGCTGCAGACCCATGGCTGGTGCTCCTATCAGCCGCGGCCCTTGGCCTGTAGCAGTGTCAAATTTGTAACTTCCTCTGGTTAAAAGTGCCAATTAAGCAGGTAAATCTCAGCAGATGCTTATAACAAAACTCTGTAGGTCACCTGGGGTTTGAAGACACGCTGCCCTTAATCCCGGGTCTGGTTAGCATGTCTTGCTAGCCAGAGGGAAGTGTCAGCGGACAAAGGCCTTAACCGTCATTATTGTGGAAGGGCATCGTAAAACAATTCCAAGCTGTGCCCGTCTTCAGGGTTTGTTCATTATCTGACTGCAGGACACTCCGCTCGAGTGTCCTTTGATTCTTTATTTTTTTGTATTATTACAAAAGACACTGGCGTAGTTTTTTGTGAGATCTAGTTAAAACAGCCTTGAGGCAAGGCAGGGCAGCTTGACGTTGAAACGACACCCATGCTGTATAGCCAGAGAGCGGGAGGAGGCCGTCACACAGACTAGCGCACGGTTCACCTTGTTTACAGACTCGTACCGTTCCATACCTCAGCAGGCATGAGAAGAACTGGGGACGTCTTGCGTTGCTGCACAGGGCCGGATCCCACTGTGCCACCCCAACCCCCCCAGGACCAAGCACTGTGCTTATGGGAGGGGGTGTGACACGGCTCTCATACGCAGGGCGCCCTCAGAGTTTTTGGCCTCTCATGACAGTCATGAATCGCATCGGACTCACAAGTGTTATGTATTTTTATGTTTTGTTGTTTTCTCGTCTGTGGCTGATGAATGTACAACCTCCCCCCGCCCCCCCCCCCCAGCTGATACTGAGTCAGGTTATCATCCCCTCTAGTTGTCAGTTACTTTGTGTGTAAATGCGTCCTGTTTATGTGTCTAAGAGAGCGAAGCCATGTTAACCCAATCTGCGAACCCGGTTCAGAAGGCATTTTCAAAACCACTACCGAGGCGGGTCTCTCGCTCGCTCTCTCACTCGCTCCCACCTGTGTCTCTCCGTCCCTCTTGGATTCCTGGTTGTTTCCAAGTTGTAGCTCGACCCGGCAAAAATGTTTTATTGCTGTTCTTAAAACCAAACCAGCTGGCCAGACCTTTTCTTGCTCTCCCATAAGTGTAAAAGCGATTTTGGTTTGGATTGTTACTGTTAGTTACTTTATTCTCGTCTTCATTGTTGCTTCATCATACAGCATTAGAAAAAAGCTTTAAATGGTTGTCAAGAATATAGGCCCCCACTTTGCCCCGTGTGTGGAATTTTGTGTATATGTTCTTTGCTTTCCTGTATCCTTTTCTGACTAAACGGCAGTCACGTGCATCCCATGTACACTGTGTTAAAGGCAATTCCTGCCCCAAGGGATTGTGGGAAAGATGCAGAACCTGGAGACAGGTGATCTACCAGTCTAGGTTTTTTGAGCTTTAAATAATCCCATGTGATCACTCCACCTTCCCTCCAGTACCAGGGTATCTGTGCATGCCCTCCCCACCCCCCCTCCCCAGAAATATTTGCCAAAGGACAAACTCTCCTCCTTCGTCACTGCTTCTTATCTCGCAGTGACTGGGTGGACGTAACCCAAAGAGAACCTGTTAGCCAGAAATATAGTAGCAAAGGACCTCTTTCTTGCTTAGTCTGCAGTTCCGATGTAATATTTGGAGAAATTGCATTGAGAAAATGATCTCTGAAATCTGTTTTAACTCATTTTTTTCCTGGAACTGTAATGGAAGTGCACTGTTTTAAAGGGAAACGCCTTAGCTGCTAATCTAGTACTTGAAACCTTTTAAAATAATACACCAGTTTTCTCCCTGTGGTATAGATCCATTTTTTACAGTAACCTCTTCAGATGTAGCAGTTCGTAATGCTCTCGCTAGTGGCAACACCCTGACTGTAAGACCCTTAACCTCAGGAAGCTTCTGGTTCAGGTAAAGGGTTACAAAGTGTGTAGCTAGAAACTCACCGTGTCATGAAAGCTCTTTCTTCTGATTGTCATCGTTCACAATCGCATTTTTTTAAATGTACATCAATAAGACCTTATTTTATATTTTCATTAAATGTTTTCATTGAAACTGTTCACTGCTTTCTGGTTCTTCATTTCTGTTTGACTGAAGGGGTATGTCTTTCGTCTTTACTTTCCAGGTTTAGGTGGTATTTTCTGCAAAAACAATAAAATCTCCACTTTGGCAATTTTCAAAGTGTGCAAAAATCCTGCAAAAATTAAAATTAAATGGCACCATTTGCATTTTAATTTTCCACTCATGAGTCAGATGTGAAAAATTAAAAAATAGGTTAATTTTATTTGACTTTTCATTTCCTACTTTGCTCTTTCATGTTCATGTTCACAATATGCAAATATATGTTAATTGGAGTGGTCAGTGGGCGGAGCCATGGCCCACAGCTGCGTTTCCTCACTGCGGATTCCGTCGTCCTGTTCCTTGCCCATGGTCGCCCACGTCACCCCAAATAATGGCAAAGTCACATGTGGCTTAACTTAGCTACTCATTTGCAGCTTCTATTTCGTAGCGTCGTTCACGCGTCGTTATTCCCAGGTTCCCTAGAGGGGACTGTCCGCAGAGCCACATGCCACACAATTTATATTTAACACATTTTGAAAACACGAAATGAAATGTGAATAGAATTTTTAAACGGTAGCACACGTATTTATGCAGGTTTGCCGCTGTAAGCAAACACTGGAATTCCAATGGCCCAGACTGCTATGTTTCCAGCTAGGTAGCTTATTACGCCTTTGTTTATTCTATGCATTTCATATTTAGTTCATATTCAGTTTATGAAAGAAATATCACATTATGCCTGGGTAATTCCACAATTTTCATTACAGTGATACTTGTGAAATTCTTATATGAATTCACCTGATAAATACACGTGCTAGAGCTTAAACCGTTTATTCATACATTATTTTGTATTTCCAAGATGACTTGCGTAAAAACTGCAGCAGGTGCCGCGCAAACCTTCTCTTCTGCTAAAGCTGCGAATAAGAAGCTACATGAATCGGAAGCTGCAAAAAAGTAACTAAGTTAAGCCGCGTGTTACTTTGCCATTAGTTTGGGCGACACAGGTCACCATGTACAATGACATCAATGTGATCCATAGCTCCGCCCACTGCCTGCTCCAATTAACATAAATTTGCATGTTGTGAACTGTAGGAAATGAAAAGTCAAATTGGAAAATGAAAAGACAATAAGGTTATTTAATTTAATTTTTTAATTTTTCACATCTGACTCATACATGAGTGGAAAATTAAAATGCAAATGGTGCTATTTCATTTTTATTTTTGCGCATAGACTTTGTGGAGATTGTATTTTCATTTTATCATTTTCATTTTATTTTTTGCAGAAAATACCTCCCATATCCAGGCAAGGTGATCAGTTGATCCATTCATTTTCCAGGACAGCTTATCCAGTACAGCAGGGGTCTCCAACTCCGGTACTGGAGAGCTACCGTCCAGTAGGTTTTCAGTCCTACCCGGCTTCTGATGAGCCACACCTGTTCTCAGGTAAATACCAGGGCCAGAAGCCAGGTAGGATAGAAAACCTACTGGATAGTAGCTCTCCAGTACCGGAGTTGGAGACCCCTGCAGTACAGGGTTACAGTCGGCATGGATTCTATCCCAGGCAGCAGAGATCCTGTACAAGGAATCTCCAGATAATCCAGGTAGACCCAGGGAGAGCATGCAAGCCCCACACAAACAAATCAGGAATCCAGCACGGTACCAGATACTGTGCAATCTGTGAATTTATTCAGCAGCACTCAATAAATTGGAAAAGCATTAGTTAAAATAAGCAACAAGCAAAATTAAGTATCCCTAAAAATATTGCTTAGCACCGCTTTAAACTCTACATGTTGTCTATGGTTAAGCGCCGCCCACACAAGCCCTAATTTATTATCCCTAATTACCCACCCACATTATTTCTGTACTTTAAAGTCTTTCTTGGCTGCTATTCACCCTTCATCTTGTCTCTTGTTGCCCTACAACAAAGCTCCACCCATTTTCCCCTACAGCAAATCACCAAATTTATCTGAATTTTCCCTATAAGGAAAAGCTGCTGGACCTCTGTTACTCTGTGCATTTTACTGCCTTATTACTCTGATCCAGCACCTGGAATCCCTGGCAAGCAGATCACCTAAGGAGCAACTTAAGGGCTCCTCCAGATGATATACTTGCTCTAGCAGAAGCTAGGTGTCCCTGGAAATGGGATGCAGTTTTAGAGGCTTGACCTCCTCTGTTCACACCTGGAGGACCGATGGGTTTCTCTAGGGCTTCCCAAACACCAGGTCCCCCATTAACGCAGATTCTGGGGAAGAGTACCTGAGTTTCCAGCCTTTTGGTGATACATTGCTCTTTCTTATTTCACGGTGTGATGGGCAAAGACAGACCGTCCTGGAGGCGGGTGTGGATTAGGCGCGGGGGTGGGAAGGAGGGAAGGTTAAGCACCTGGGTCTTTCACCTTCACATTTATTTAATGGGTAGCGGCTTCCCTAGGAAGCGGCTGATGGTTCGGCGCGAGTCCGGCGGTCTGCAAAGGTCGCCGGGCACCTTCATTTACAGGTTGCCATGCAGCTTAAAGCTACCTCAGATAAAGGGTTGTTTCCATCAGGGTGGCGGTGGGAGGGGTGCAGACTGCATAGAGAAATGGTTTCGGGAGGGTGAAATTAAAACCTTCGCCAGCTTTTCCAGTGCTTTTAACGGTTTGATGATGCTAACGCCGGCTGCTGCCCCGTTATTACAAAAAGTCACACGTAGTGATCTTCTGTGGCTCTGTCACACACTCTGTTTACCAAAAACAAAGTCTTGAGAATGTTTTCAGGTGGGGGGATGACAAGTGTAGACCACCAGAGACAAAGACCACACAAGCACAACCCCAGGTGCCCAGCTAGACCACTGCCTTCTTAAATCAGAACCCCCACCACCAAGATCAGAGCTGTTTGCCAGGGGTCTGATAGAGTAAGCAGTTGTTTAACACAGAGTCTTTCAGGCTTTTAATCGGGCCTCAGTGTTTCAATGGAGCCTTGACAATGGCACTTAGGTGCTGTATAACCCACATATAAATATGGATGGAATGATCAGATGTCTGTCCCTCCAGAAAATCGCCAAATAATTTCAGGTAAGCATTCTTTTTTTTATTTATACCGTCAACTGAAGGAGAATGAGCCTGACGAGCCGAATAACTTTAATCCATAAGTAAAACAGTCACCTGTGAGGAGTTAGGAAGAGGGAGGGACATGTGACTGTAAGGCAGGAGGAGCCTGACTGTTTCAGCGTAACTGTGGAACCCAGAAGAGCAGCAGAGACGGCCGAGGGCTTCGGGGGGGGGGGGGTTAATGCCGGCCTGCACTGGACAGTCTCCTTTTTATAGCATCCCCCCAACCCCCACCATTATACGCCTCTCCTTAACACCTAAGCGGTCGGTTACTGGTTGCCATGACGATCCAGGGGGCTGCTAACGCCAGTGAAAGAAGGGGGCAGAGCAGAGGCTCCGTCTGGGGCCCGGTGTGTCCACACCTTCTCCACCCCCTCCGCCCCCCCCCGAAGCCAAGCTAAGCAGGCCTGCATTATGCACACATACAAACAGCGCCCTCTGCTGCCCATCACTGAAAAGCACACCACAATCTGCTTGTGCCTGCTGTTGTTCTTTTTTGTCCGTTTTACAAAAGGTCCCCCTGGCTTTTCTTGCCCAATTGTTCCATCTTTGTGGCACCATTATGAAAAATACGGTGTCAAACTTTAACATTAATTATACCATGAGCGATACAAGCTTTGCAACTTAGTCATTTTCCAAGTTAACAATCATCTACAGAACCTATGGTGTTATGGATGCCTTGATGATCTTGTTTTGTAGGTCTTTTGCAATCCAACAACACCAAAATATCCATAGATTTATATACATATTAAACCGAGCGATTTCAAATACCAGACCTTGACCTAGACTGACCAGGTTGGGGGAGAGGCAATTAGAAATTTTGGTGGGGCAGCATTTCACACAATGGGTTATACTGTGCAGTAGGGGCTTGTGACCAGAGAAATGGGGGGGCACATGGGCATATTCATATGTTATGTTTGAACTATTTATGAACTCTACATTATGCTCTCATGGTCATCTCTATAATCAGGAAAGAGAGGTTATTATTTATTATTATTATTATTATTATTATTATTATTATTATGTGATTCCTGTAAGATGCTTTGGATAGAAGTGTCTGCTAACCAAACATAAACTTAAACATAAGCTTATCTACTGGCATATTAAAGGCAAATTTGGAACTCAAATTCATGAACTAGTATACAAGAACATAAGAGCAGGACATGTAACATGATCAGTAATATAGCGGAAGGATGCTCCTTAAAGAGAAAATGCATTAAAAGTTAATTACCAAACCATAAACAAACAGACTTTGCAAACAAAGGAGGAAGCGACCTGCGCTGCGCTGGTGAGAAGTGGACAGGGAAGCTGTAACATCACTGCCTGAACCGCCCGCAGTGACAGCCAGCTCGAAGACACCGGCCCTGTAGCCTGCCTGCTTATTCAAGCTAAGAGCAGTAACTGAACTGCGGGTAGCAAGCTTTGAATTGGGAACCAAAAATTGTTGCATGTTGTTTATGGTTGTGTATGACTAATTTGAGTGAAATACACATATCTAAACTACTAAATTTAGTAATATACTGTACTGATGACGGTTGCCAACTCTCACGCACCTGGCGTGAAACTCACGCTTTCAGGTTCTCACGCAAGAAATCTTAATTATATTATTCAATTCTAACCCCAAAATTAGCGACATCAAAAGCTTTGGGGTAGTTTGTAAAAACTACAGATTATTATTTATTATGATTGTTAGTTGTTAAGGTAATAAAACTGTTACATACATGTAACGCTCGTGTGTGTTTGTATGTGTGTGCGTGCGAACTGAAAATCTCACTCCAGCCAACTGATCAAATTTGGCAACCCTGCGCTGACGTCAGCATTAGCAAACTGTCAAATGTTGGAGGAGCAGCGCCCCCGTATCCGCGGGGGATGCGCTCCAACACATACCGCGGAGATCCGAAATCGTGGCTAGCAGCGAACACAATAAATTACTTGTTTTCTGTGTACTTACATACCTATGATAAAGTTTAATTTGTAAATTACACTGAGGCTACCGTCACCAAATCAGCGGTTCCACTGTACTGTTCTAGTGAGCTTTCTAGCCAACAGTAATGTCAGCTAGCTAATTATCGAAGAGTTAACTAAACCCCTACTAGCAAAGTCCCTATTCAACACAACATTACAAAAAACTACAGCAACAACGGACACGATTTAACAAGAAGGAGTTTTAATGAGAATAAGGTGACATTCCTCCTCCACTTTTCAGATGCTCCGCAGAAGAACATCTGACTGGACGAATGAAATTAACGTGATTGGCAGATTCAGATGGCGCAGGCTAAAGTTGACCAATTGGGCGGGCAGAGCAGAAATTTGGGTGGGTATTGCCCACTGCTAGATCCGGCTGTGTCAAATGCACACATTCAACATGCTACTGATAGAAACTAAACTTTTCATGTTTAGTGTAAGTTTATGACTGACAGCTATACACAAGATGCCATTAAACAATCGATCCTTGCTCCAACTGTATGGGGGGCACCTGGATTCTGTCCTAGGCTGCGTTAAATAGCTTCCTCTGGGATAAAAGTACGTATTGATTCTGATTATGGCACTTACAAGCCACTTCCACCACTGCTAATCGTGCTAGCAGTATTTGTGTCCTTTGTGAATAAAGAGTTTCAAATTGTGTGATAAAACATCCATATCAAAACATCCTTTGATAAAACATCTGCAAAATAGGTGGGATTTGTACATTTAGTTTGATAAAAAAAACAGTATATATATAATGTGTGTGTGTGTGTGTGTGTGTGTGTGTGTGTAGCTGATGCCTGCAACTTGTTCCAAAAAAGTTAGGACAGAGCAGTTAGGACTAATAACGATGTGACAAGTTGAAATGACAAGGTGATGTGCAACAGGTGATGTTACACAGGCGAGGCAATCATGTTATAGTACAACAGGATCCTTCAATAAAGGCCTAGTTCTCCAAAAGCAAGAATGGGTTGAGATGTGCCAACTTTCCCTGTATGTTAAAAATCCAGCATTTTGAGAACAACAATCCCTGAAGACAAATTAGTATGATTTTGGGTATTTCATCCACTACAGTGCACAATATGATGAAAACATTTAAGGAATCTGGTCAAATCTTGGTATGTAAAGGGTTAGTATGAAAACCACTTCTGAATGGGCCTGATCTCTCGTCCATCAGACATCACTGTCTTAAAAAACTATCATGCATCAATTATGGGTATCGTGATGTAGTCTTGAGGATTCTTCCATAAACCTTTGTCGGTCAACATCACTTACTGCTGCATCTATAAATGCGAGTTAAGGCTTTACTATGCAAAACAGAAGCCATGCACCAACTCTGGCCAGGAGCTCCGGCGACTTCTTCACGCTTGATCTCATCTGAGATGGACAGTGAGAGGGAATCCTGTGGACAGTGACAGAGGGAATCCTGTTTTATGGTCCAACATGTCGAACAGGTTTTGGGAGAATCCAGCCCTCGTTGGAGGAAAAGGACCATGGAGGGTTTTATGGGCGTCTGGTCCAAAGGCCAGCATCTGTCCTGATGGCCGTGTGACAGTGTCCCTGGCTTGGGTATATTGTGGAGTAGCGTATGCTGCCATTCAAACGCCATCTTTTCCAAACTTGTCCCTGCACTTTCCAGCAGGACAACGCCAAACCACGTTTTGCCCGGACTGCCGGTGCATGCCTGCACAAGCAGAGGCTGCGTACAAGACCAGTCTGCCTGCAGTCCTAATCTGTCTCTGACTGAGGAGAAAATTCCACTTGCTAAACTTAACCAACTAGTGTCATCAATGTCCAAATGCTCATTAAGTGTCATTAAAAGAAATGTTGGTTACATAGTGGTAACAGTCGAGTCTCCCAACCTTTGGAGCACATTGCAGTCATCTGATCTGAGTGTATATTTAAAGATATATATGCTTTTTGTTTTTATTAGCATTTTCCATACTGTCCCAACGTTTTTGATATTGGGGGTTGTATGTATATTTGTTGAAATTAAGTAAAATGTAATTATAGCAAGAGACAACCAAGCAGCTGTCTGTGGTGCTTAACTAAATACATGATCGGACTCAAACTGGTCCGGCAAATCTTTAGTCAGATTTATAAACTTCTCTAAATCTGCCCATTTTGGAAGATTAAGGGATTATCATAAATCACTGGGATATTAAGACGGATCATGGCATCGAGCGTTTAATTAATGCCACCCAACCGCAGGCCATAAGCCCTCATCTTGGGCACAGTTACGACGAGGCTGTAGGCTGAACCAGGCAGCACAGGTCAAAAAGCGGGGGCACCCTGGACGGCATGCAAATCCATTACAGACCACACACTCACACACACACTAACACACTGCAGACAACGTATAAACAGCATCGGACCTCCAAGTCATTCAAGTGAAGTCAGGGCACAATGTTTTCCAATGGCACTGAACACTATTCTAAAAAGATTAGGCATTGAAGTTAGTTACCATCTTACTTTACTAAAGAATTTTTTTTAAGACTAATTGTTAGTCAAAAGAATTCAATCACACATTCCACCAGTTACTTCTATTACTACCTCTCATTTGCTCTGAAAAGTTAAGTAATTTAATTCCTCACCTTCTTTAATCACCGTTGTTCTCAACTTCCATACAAAACGGGGCGACTTTGTACGGTTTGGTACTATGTCGGATATACTGGCGTGTTTCTCCTTAAATATTAACACGATGACAAACACGAAAACTCGTTTATCTCCGATGGGCCATAATTGAACAGCCTCCATATCCGCGGGGCAACACATTTCAGCTGAATTCATTGCTTTTTCGAAATCATTTGTGGTTAAATAACCCCAATCTATACTCTGCGTTCATAAAAAGTCCACGAAAATCTACAGCGAACCTAATCACAGAAAAACTGCGATTTAGGATTGGGTCCTGCCCACTAGGGGGCGCGAAACGCTCACGATTTACACGAAAGCATCGTAATCAAGTATATCAATATAAGTGTAGATAGACGGAATAAATAATGCAGGAAAATGGACAATTAAATGAAAATTTGCTATAGTAATTTTAATTGGTGGGGAAAAAAAATTTGGCCGTGAAAATTACTATTAAACGGAGAATCAACTTGGTCACTGTAGCGGGTATTAAGCTGCAATGTAAATTGCAGTGTCTTGCGGGGCAGCGTCAAATCAAACAAAACCACTAGCAGGGGGAAAAGACACAGATTTTAAGAAATGTGTCTCATACGCTCATATACGTATACACAGAGATGTAGGACTAGTCGTACATTTATTTCATTTTTCAGGATCACACTGAAATTTACAGAAGGGAGTAACGGGGACTCATTTTTACATCATTTGCCCATTAATGTGTGATTTTCCTTCAGAGCAGTGTTTGACTACTTAATGCCCCATCATACTCAGCACACATTCATGGAGGGGGGGGGGGGGTGTCCGACGGTCACAGGCGATAGATATCTGGATGGTGACAAGCCCTGTGGTGTTCCTCAGTACAGCAAAAGACGAGGCCAAAATAACGTAACATTTCCTCAAACCTGGTTTCAAGAAAGCATTGAATTATATAGAAAAAATACTTCAGTAATTCTTTAAAAATATATAATTATGTTCAGTCACACACAGACCTAGTCTTTTTTTTTCCTTTTACCCTTTTCGGAACATAAGTCAATATATCAGTGGCCAAGCTGCAACTCTCCATTATTCAATGCGTTACAAACAGAAGGATTCATGAAAACCTAAAAAGCTAATTCCACAGAATACAGTGCAACTTGTGCAAAGAAAAAAAAAAGGTGTTAAGAAACAAACATTATGTCACACACCCCCAGGACCTTGCTGTTTCAGGTGTCTTCCTGTTTACTTGTTTTTTTGTTTTGTTTTTGTTTTTTACAAAGATGATTTGTTTGAGAAAAGAGATAACACCAAAGATGAAAAAGATGGAATACTCATCCCCGTTATGGAATTGCATCTTTCCTTGAAAGGCGAAAATTGTCTGCAACAGCAGGGAGTCTAGCTAAGCAGCCATTACCATTATTATTGAACAAATGAATGGGAACAACATCTGTTACGCAAATTGCCTTATTTCCTCATTTCTTTAAGTTCCCCCATCTTTACAGATTCTCCTCTAACCATTTTTTTTTCTCAACAAAGGAAAACAGTAGAAAGTTAGTAACAGCCTCAAGCTTAACCCCAAAAGGTGAGACTTGTCTGGTTCAAAGTCCTGCTTCAAGATGGAGGTGGGCGGAGCGGCGGGGCTCCAGGTTGGCTAGAATGACAAGTGCGTAGGTGGGTGGTTGGTTGGTTCTGGAAAGGGGTGGGGTCAGAGAGATGGGCAGAGACAGGAAGGGGAGGGACTAAAGGGGCAGGGATGCAGACGAGGGTCTCATCAGTCCACTGGCCGCTTTTCGCCATGTTTCTTTGTAAACTCTTCTGCATTCTTAAAGAATTTTTTACGGTCCTTTGAGTATTCCTCTGCTAGGTCGGCCCTCAGGGGGTGCTCGGGCTGGGGGTCATTCACCAGGGCGATGAGAGACTGGATTACTAGTTTAAAGAAAATAAAGACATTAAAGTATGCGAGTTAGACAGAATGTAACACACAACCACTAAAATTTAAGTAAAATAAAGAAGGATGAGATAAAAAAAAAATATATCACATTTGCGCCATTCATTCAGGCATCACAAAATGCAGCAGATGTTCGACACTGGAGGGAGCTACACTGTGGGCATGTGCAGCTGCCAAGAGTGACATCACGCTCCCTACCTTGGTCGGTTTTGGTGGCTGGCTTCCAGTTCTCTGCGCTGATCACCGGCAGGCAGACCTGGCCCTTCTCATCAATGTTGGGGTGGTAGATCTTCGTTTTGAAGGTGATCTTGGGGGGCTTGAACGGATATTCAGCAGGAAATATGATCTCAATCCTGAACGCTCCTTTGTCATATGGGGGGTTGTCCTTTGGGGAAGAGGCAGAAACTGGGTGAGGACCAGAAATATTCTTGTATCCAGTGATTTACACCCTTTTGGCTCCTTATCTCACAATTAAGCTCCTTAAGTCAAAGTCAACAAAACAAACACAGGCTTGTTCCACAAAACTCAACAAAAGCTTTATTATCTAAACCTTTGATACTCAGTTATTAGTCATCCTCGGACATTTACTTCCACCTGTAACTTACTCATACACCTTAATCAGCTTATAGGTTAATCGAAAGCAGGTACGTCTGTCATCGATTTGTAAGCAACGTTAAATACCTCCATAAATTACTGCCTATGTCCTTCTTACACCTCAGGCATTATTATTATCCAGCTAGAGGCGCTCTCTCTGTAGTCTGAACCCCCTCTAATGGAAAAACCTGCACAAACAGTTTCTAAAAGCTCTCATGGGGCAGGCTGAGCCAGAGGACCCCACAACTACCACAAATCAAATACCACATACTTACAGGGACAATAAGACCTTGCCAGGTCAAAATATTTGCCTCGTCGACTTGGATGTTACGGAAATTTTTCATTCCAGACTTGCGGATTTCTTCAAGTTCCTGAGAGGTGAAAGAAATAAAAACAAAAATGTGTGAGAATCCAAAGCAAATTAAGTAGTAATTGTAACCCCAACATGCAAGGGGGGGGGGGGGGGAGAGACAAACCCACACATCATATTCACAAGCCTCCGCAGATGACAGAGCTGCTGAACCAGGCTGTGCACAGAATATAGGGGGAAAACAGGAGCGAAACATCTGTCGGTGGTTGGCAATACATAACATCCACAGCTCCCCATCCTAAAGACAGACATTAGTGGATGGCCACAAGAACCAAGGGGGTCCTTTCATCTGCATAATCACCCTGTTCCTATCGCTGTACGTTATACATAGTTAAATGCTTCTGCTGCTTGCCGATGAACTGTAGGAATTCTGTTTATGTCATGAGAACAGGGCATCTTCCTGTAATGATTTGAGTTGATTTGATTTCAGTTTTGAAAAAGGACCTCAAAACGTTCCACTTTCATTGTTTCATTGTGTTTTCAGAGGAGTCGGAACCCAGTGGGCAGGCCGGCGTAGATGATCCCGCGTCAGACGAGGAGAGAATTTCCTGCTGCTGTCCATCAAAACACTGACTCCTGTGCATAGATGTGCTAGAACCTGTTAGTTCAGGGCTTACTGGAAGTGTTCTGAAGTTCCTTGAATTCCACACCAGTGTTGCCTCAGACATACCGCATTTGGAAGCCAAAGAAACAGATACTGCCATGTCTGACAAATCCTGTTTATACCCTTCCTTAAGCAAAATCTCAAATGCAGACCAACTTCTACATACAATGCCTTGGTAAGCCATTACCCAAGAAACCTCTCAGAAATATCTACACTTTTTTGAGATATCTACTCCATTTAACAATACAAACAGCCAAGCAAATACAAATGACTGGTTTACAATTTATGCTTATGCTACTGGTTTCCAAGAAGTTTTTTTTTCCTTCCAGAATGTTCCATTAGCAATTCTGTTTCAATAGCGAAACTAACTTTGACAGTGACAGACTTTGTTCCATTCAATACAAACAAGGCGGTTTGTTAGATACTTGAAATGCCTTTCAACTGACCGATTAGATCCCGACTTCTGGGTTCTTCAGAGCTAATTTGAATAAGGAAATTAAGTATTTGACTCGAATTATTGAATCTGCGCGCATACAGCGCATTCGCCTGACGCTGGACGACCGGGTTTATACAGTCGGTCGTAAAAATACATTTAAAAGATGTATATAGATATTTCCCCATCTGAACTGTTCAAACACTGCCCACAGAAGTTTGAATAAATTCATAGTATTTAAAACGAGTATCCACTTTAACACGCAAACTCCCAGTTATAACCAACACCCTTAAGGAACCGAATTATTCACTTTGTTAAACACTGGTTAACGCCTGTTTTCAATGATGTATTAAGAGATGTGTACAATGTACACGTAAGACAGCCCAATAAATAAGCAAACATCTACAAGGAAATAACGTGTTTACAGTAAGCAACTATGACGGGTGAATTACGCGTGGAAACCACCTCTTCCTGGATGACTCGAGGATCCATTTAAATACGTATACAAACCGGAACAATGGTACCCCGATTTCTTCTAAATTCGTAATTTCGATTGCGTATATTTCCATCACACAAAACATCGTACCTAACTCCAGACTTACGGTTTTACCCACCAAAGGAACAGATAGACAACACGCCATGGGAACATCGTTACCTTCGCCACATTCACAGTCACGGTTAAGGGAGAAGAAACTTCCGCTCGATTAGAAAGAAAACTGTAGGAAAACAACAGACTTTACATTAACTGCCCTAAAGATCAGCCGTCCTGCCAGCCATGTAACGCGGGTCCGATGATTCAGACAATAAGACTGTACTTCCTGTGTCGTTAAAAAGTCGCCAGTTAGCCACCTAGCCCGCTAGCCAGTGCGCTGTTTATCATTCTCACAATAACACGCCGAACTGTCACTAACATCAAAAAACGCCTCCCCAGGTGTATTAGACGATGGCATTTCATGTTGTGAGAACGAATCACTTTCCGTCATCCGCAGAGTTGGCTCCTTCCCGGTCGGCCCCGGCCTATTTTGCCGGTGCTTCGCTTACTCACTGTCACGCAAAAAGGCAGCTAGCTACATGTAATGAACGACCAGACAACTACTTAGAGCGACACACATATGAGCTACGTCGAAGGCCCTCGCCGAAATGTACGGTTTAGAGAGTCGTATGACCAGATACGATTATGTGAGTTTCCAACAACACTCTTTTAGGAACGGGGAAGAAAAAAATAGAATGGATAAGACAATTTACCTTATGCAGCCTCCTGCTCGCCGCCATCTTGGATTTGCTGGTTATTCCCAGAATGCACCGCGGCGACAGGGCGTCTCAAGTTCCTGTGCTTCCCGCACGGCGGCAAAAGTGCTTTGCTGGCGTCTGGTTCCTGTAGTAGACTCATCCTTGAAATAACAAGGGGTAGTGTAACTCCCTATAACTTTACATAGAATAAAAATATTTTTAGAGACCCATAATCCTGGGATGTTACTTTATTGTGCTACCGATTAGCTGTTTAAAGATCATAGCAAACTAGCTAAACAGAATGTTCTAGGATATGTTAAGCAACCAAGCCAGTTATTAAACACTTAACTTCAGATCGAATGGCCACATCACCGCAATTAGACAAGTTACCATTGTGTTAAGATGTTATGATTGTGATTAAGGTAGAGTAACACCAGTTATGTAAAAATATGTATTAAAGGCAAATGTGTTGCATTTGGTTAACCATGTTTGTTTAAGATTATGTTGAACATGCTTTTCGTAGTCTTATACAAGAGACACCTAAGTGTTCCAGATTTAAAAACTCCATGCCCCTGTTTTAGTAAAATCTGTAGCGGATTTATGAGCAGATCTCCATAAAAGTTACATGTGGGTGTCTTTAGGTCCATTTTCAATAACCACAAAAAGTATTCGTGATGGTAAGCTCTCGATTTCATAATCTCCTGATTGTTAGGTTTTTCGACGACAGTGATAACTTGCCATTTTATAGTAATGGCATGAATGAAACTAACATGTGCTACTAGGGTGGTTACAAAACTGGACTGAGTTATCTGTTTAAAATCCTGTGTGTGGGGCTGAGAGGGTGGTACCGTGGTTAGGTTTAAAGTATTTAATCAACCTCTGTTGAGCAAGATTCGCCTCCCCGCCCCTTCTCATGCGTGTGGATTTGCGTGTTTTCTTTTCGTGTCATTGTGAGATTTCCTTCATGTTTTCCACACAGTCTAAAAACATGCCAAGGTGATTTGGAGCTGCCAAATTGCCTTGCGAGGGATTGGCACCCCGTCATGGGTTATTCGCCGCCTTGCACCTGTTATCTCCGGCATAGGCTCCGGACCTTCGCAGCCCTGCATGGGACGAGCGGATATGGAAAATGAATGACTGAATCCTGTGCATAGGATACATACGGGGTTTAATTAAATGTTTTAAAATATACTGTGAATTAAGGAATCTGCGAGATTAATTAAGATATGTACTGTAAATAGATTAAAAATAAATATCGAAAACATGACAAACACTATAATATTTCCACACATGCCCTAAATCGGTTTTAAAATCAGCAATATCCTGAAACATATTCTTGCATTCCTGCTCATATGGTCTTTCGGTAGGTTTCTTGCCCTATTGCACAGATATGAGAAATTACACTCGCATCCGCATGCAGTTGTCTTTAGTTTTCAACTGGGGTTTCGGGTTTTTCCAGTAAATACATTTTAAATTATGCACATAAAACACGTTATTTAATAAACTGACCTAAGTAATTGAAGTAACATGAGATACATGAGAAGTACAATTGTATGTTGTATGAAAATCCAGGTCATTCTTAATATATGTAAAATGTTCGTTCTAAATATAACAATCTCGATCCTCTCAGTACCTGAGAAGTACATAACTACCCAGAAAGATGAATGTTCACGCGCAATCTCCAGAATTCGCCGAAGAGACCAATCAAAGCCGTTCGCATCCCTCCGAGAGTAACTGTAACCAATCAGAAAGTAGCATGTGGACCCATTACTTCCGTATACTCTACCTGTCAAGCTGTGGTTGGCTGGGATCAGGGGTCTGATTATGCTCACTGACTGTATTATCCCGTGTGCGGAGCACTTCCTACAACTAATGCTTAACAAAATGAGGTCCGTGCGTTGTTTAGGAAGGCTGGCGTTACTCGTTTTTATTGCGCTGCAGTGCGACTGTCGAGACACGGAGTTTAATTACGTGACGTGTGGTTCCCTGGTCAAGTTGCTAAACACACGGCACAACGTCCGACTGCACTCCCACGACGTTAAATATGGGTCAGGTAAGTTCATTGTGTGTGCTTCTTTGCCCGATCAGCGTGGGGTGTTTAAAATACGGACATGGCAGCGATGTTTCTGTGCTTATGTGAATCCCACGTATTCAGTGGTATTCAAACCACCGCATCACTACCATGGCTATTTTTGTTACGATTTATGATTGTAGCTCATTTCAGCTGTCACGTTGCTGTCTTTTCTCAAGTTGAACATGCATGAAGTAAGCTCCGCCAAATCGTTCATCAAAGTGAGCGATTAAGGTGCAGGCCTCATATCTTATTCATTCCACACGATACCCTCATGGTTCCTTCATGTATGTCCCCCAGAAAGGACCTGCAGCCTCCCAGGTGGCATCCGAAGGGTGAAAGTGCCGATGAGGAAGTGGGGGGCGGGACAAGCAAGGAGGCACCTCGCGTTAGTTTTTCAATCAACGAGTGGTTGATTTTAGACTTCAGACCGCCTTTTGACATGTGCTTTTAGTAGTTCATCTGACATTTTTATCAGACATCATTCATGTATATATCTGGCATTTATATTTTTATGTGGGTGATTTCGTTTAAGTAGGCTACAGGATACCGTAGAGTATCACCGCAGGGCTTTTTCTGGGATTTGAACCGGCAACCTTCACGTCGTTAGTCTGTGTTATTAAACACCACGCTTAAGTCAAGTCAGCTACTAAACAGTGAATTTCTTTACATAGGCATATTCCTCTTGGGAAACTTTCTCAGTACTTTACTTTTGTAGGTTGAAGAAAATAGGAACTACTTTGCATTTAAACAATGCATTTTTGTTTGCAAGACAGCAGGCTGGATGGGGATCTCTGTTTTTGGATGGTGGGGGACATTGGAGCCAGAGTTCCAGTAGTGTTCATGGGCTGTTTATTTTTTAGCTAAATAAGTACTGAAATTATTATTGTTGCACTGCTAGGGCCCTGTTTTGATTCTGGTGGCTCACAATAGCCCCAAGGTTTCACATATCAGCAGCTGATTTAGGATTCTTCTCCTTTCTGCAGGTAGTGGGCAGCAGTCAGTCACGGGGGTGGAGAGCTCAGATGATGCCAACAGCTACTGGCGGATCCGGGGAAAGCCCAACGCACCATGTGAGAGGGGCGCACCCATCAAGTGCGGCCAAGCCATTCGCATCACTCACATGAACACAGGCCGCAACCTCCACACTCATCATTTCGTCTCTCCGTTGTCCAGCAACCAGGTACGGGTGTTGCCAGTCAATGTGCCTCTTTTTTTTTTTTTTTTGTTGACGCTATAATCTACTCTATATTCCTGTTCTGATGTGGTGCTGTGTGACATGCCCAATAATAGACATGTCAATCCCTGAAACAAACCCTGAAAGACTCGGCTGAATCGCATGTGACTGGCAGAGAGCTGAGGTAGACATCTGTCGATATCGGGATCAGAGTTAGATATGTAGTCTGCCTGTTTTGCTTGCATTAGGTGAAATGGTGCAGTTTTGAGGCTGGTCAGTTTTATTGGCTGATTATAGGTTGACCTTGTGTAGTCTTAAACATAAAATGGTTCAGTTCACCCTGAACCAAAGTGAAAGCTGCAAGTCTTTAGTATTAACTAGTGAACAAAATGACACTTCATGAACGATTTGCTGTCTTTTTTTGACCCCACTAGATTTTCTCTGTTCAAAAAAGGGCACAAAGCATGCTCCAATGTAAATCTGAGCACCATCTAGTGGGGTCAAAAAATATAGCAAATGGTTCATCACTAGTGGTAACATTTGACTGGTTGATGTTAACTGGCCTGCTGGAAACCACTGTGTATTCTGTAAGCGGCCAGCGTATATGGCCAGGAGGGACAGGGGGCACTGCTGAGTGTTCCTCAGGCCTGTGTCTGGTTTCAGTTTTGCTGACGCACCATGATCCATTCCACCCCCCAGGAGGTGAGTGCTTTCGGGGAGAACGGTGAGGGCGACGACCTGGACGTGTGGACCGTGCAGTGCAGTGGGACATACTGGGAGCGCGATGAGGCCGTGCGCTTCAAGCACAAGGGTACCGAGGTCTTCCTCAGCGTCACTGGGGAACAGTACAACCACCCCATCCGCGGGCAGCGGGAGGTGCACGGCATGCCGCACGCCAACCACCACAATTACTGGAAGACCATGGAGGGCGTGTTCATCAAGACGAGTGCAGAGCTGGGCCATCATGATGAGCTCTAGCATCCATTCGGTTCTCTACATAATCTTCTCCTCACCTTGATTCTTTGCCCTGGAAAGAACTCTGTAGAAAATTAAAGTTCTTGTCCGCTCTGGTTCCAAAACCTCTGCAGCTACCGTTCTCTCACTTGTGAATACCGAAGTGAAAAATTCCAGAGTGTTTTAAGGAGAAATTAATTTAGATTTTGAAAAATTGTGTGTAAAGTTGAACTTTGAACTGTACACCCCTCCCCCCCCCAGGTTTGGCAATGCATTGTTTTTCAGAAAAAGCAATTTCCTAAATAAGAACCACCATACACCCCCCCCCCCCAAGGTGTTATTAAAGGTAGGTCAATATCTTTATGTACAGTTTGGGCATGGTTACACAGAGGTGCCATAAGTGGTGCTGAGATATTTCATAAATTATCTGGTTTCTGTGTAAATGGAATAAGAACCACTGCTACTCCCATGGTATATGAAGACCAGAAAGTACCATGCTTGATTTTCATTGTGCTTTTTCACCTAGCTATAAATGCTTATTTATTCTGTTTGAGTGTCTCCTTTTGGTTTCAAGGCTGGTGAAATATTTACATTCATTTTGTTAAGAGGGTTCGGGGTCTCCTGCACCTGGTACCTGTGAGAATGCGGGGAAGTGTTTTGAGTTGTCACTGCTGTTCCAATAGAGGTTATGAATTTGACAGTTTTGATTCATTTCTCCTGTTCTTGTGATGTTCCCAGTCCCCCACAGCAGGGCAGCAGCAGTGCCTTATATAAATGGGTCTCAGAAACCAGTTTAAGCAATAGGTTTCCTACTTGTATGGATTCTAAAACTACGTTTCCATGGACCTGCTCTTAGCTTCCTGCCCATCGCGAAATAAGACTTTACTAACCTGGTTTAGCTAATGAAATCCCCCTTTTTTACAACACTTTCCAAAAAAGTTACACAATGTGTAAAATGTAAATAAAAGCAGAATGCAATGATTTACAGATCATTGAACCCATATTTAATTGAAAACAGAACAAAGACAACTTGTCAAATGTTGAAACTGAGAAATTTTATTGTTTTATGACAAATATATGCACACTTTGAATTTGATGCCAGCAACACGTTTAGAAGAAGCTGGTACAGGGGCGTGTTTACCCCTGTGTGGCATCACCTCTTCTTTTAACAATACTGTGTAAACATCTGGGAACTGAAGAGGCCAGTTGCTGGTGTTTTGAAAGTGAATTTTTGTCCCATTATAGCATGATATAAGATTTCAACTGCTCAACATTTTGAGGTCTTTGTCGTATTTTTTGTTATATACTCAGCAAAAAAAGAAACGTCCCTTTTTCAGGACTGTGTATTTCAACAATAATGTTGTAAAAATCCAAATAACTTTACAGATCTTCATTGTAAAGGGTTTAAACAATGTTTTCCGTGCATGTTCAATTAACCATAATCAATTAATGAACATGCACCTGTGGAATGGTCG